ATTCATTTAATAAGTTTAGTGGTTACAGAGAATACCTTGTAATCTCCATGCAACACTGAGGCCGGCCATGTGTTTTTAACCTCCCTGGCGGTCTAATTATGTCAATATTTTTGAATGTCTAAGCGGAAATTTATTGTTTTATATTGTAGGCCTGTAATTCTTAGGAATAAGTCACTTAAATCTGTCCAAACAAGAGTCTAGTAAATGTCCCGGGTATGAAAAAGTTTGAAACACGAAATCATAAATTAGAATATAATAAATAATTATAAATAATTATTAAAAGAATACTAATATAATAATAATATATTTAATTCAATAGTGTAATCAAACCAAAAACACTGAAATTTGAAATAGAGCACCAAGTTCGCACATCATTGAGCAAAGTCGCAGAATCGTCGCTGTTGTCACTTTCAGTGTCTTATGGGTATACGATTATAACTTTTTTTTTTTTTTTTTATGGTTGAACTGTATGGACTTTTGTCTTTTTTCAGGCAGACTAACTACAGTCATGGCCGAAATTGTTGGCACCCTTGATATTTCTCCAGGAAATCATGTATTTCTCACGAAACGTATTGCATTAACACATGTTTTGCTATACACATGTTTATTCCCTTTGTGTGTATTGGGACAAAACAAAAAAAGGGAGGAAAGAAAGCAAATTCGACATAATGTCACACAAACCTCCAAAAATGGGCTGGACAAAAGTATTGGCACCCTTTCACAACTGCGGATAAATAAGAATGTTACAAGCATGTGATGCTCCTGTAAACTCACCTGGGGCAAGTAACAGGTGTGGGCAATATAGAAATCACACCTGAAAGCAGATAAAAAGGAGAGACGTTCACTTAACCTTTGCATTGTGTGTCTGTCTGTGCCACACTAAGCATGGACAACAGAAAGAGGAGACGAGAACTGTCTGAGGACCTGAGAACCAAAATTGTGGCAAAATATCAACAATCTCAAGGTTACAAGTCCATCTCCAGAGAACTAGATTTGCCTTTGTCCACAGTGCGCAACATTATCAAGAAGTTTGCAACCCATGGCACTGTAGCTAATCTCCCTGGTCGTGGACGGATGAGGAAAATTGATGAAAGATTGCAACGCAGAATAGTCCGGATGGTGGATAAGCAGCCCCAAACATGTTCCAAAGACATTCAAGCTGTCCTGCAGGCTCAGGGAGCATCAGTGTCAGCGCGAACTATCCGTCGACATTTAAATGAAATGAAACGCTATGGCAGGAGACCCAGGAGGACCCCACTGCTGACACAGAGACATAAAAAAGCAAGACTACAGTTTGCCAAAATGTACTTGAGTAAGCCAAAAGCCTTCTGGGAAAACGTCTTGTGGACAGATGAGACCAAGATAGAGCTTTTCGGTAAAGCACATCATTCTACTGTTTACCGAAAACGGAATGAGGCCTACAAAGAACAAAACACAGTACCTACGGTAAAATATGGTGGAGGTTCAATGATGTTTTGGGGTTGTTTTGCTGCCTCTGGCACTGGGTGCCTTGACTGTGTGCAAGGCATCATGAAATCTGAGGATTACCAAAGGATTTTGGGTCGCACTGTAGGGCCCAGTGTCAGAAAGCTGGGTTTGCGTCCAAGATCCTGGGTCTTCCAGCAGGACAATGACCCCAAACATACGTCAAAAAGCACTCAGAAATGGATGGCAAAGAAGCGCTGGAGAGTTCTGAAGTGGCCAGCAATGAGCCCAGATCTAAATCCCATTGAACACCTGTGGAGAGATCTTAAAATTGCTGTTGGGAAAAGGTGTCCTTCCAATAAGAGAGACCTGGAGCTGTTTGCAAAGGAAGAGTGGTCCAAAATTCCGGGTGAGAGGTGTCAGAAGCTTATTGATGGTTATAGGAAGCGACTGATTTCAGTTATGTTTTCCAAAGGGTGTGCAACCAAATATTAAGTTAAGGGTGCCAATACTTTTGTCCAGCCCATTTTTGGGGTTTTGTGTGACATTATGTCATATTTGCTTTTCTGCCTCTGTTTTATATTTGTTCCAATACATACAAAGGGAATAAACATGTGTATAGCAAAACATGTGTTAATGCAATACCTTTTTTGTGTGAAATACTTGATTTTCAGGAAAAATATCAAGGGTGCCAACAATTTCGGCCATGACTGTATGTAACTATATGTAACTATGACGAATTTCCCCACTAATCATTATCGCTCAATTCTGCAAGTGATTCTAATTCACTATCTCTGTTTTCTAGCTGACCTAAAGGGACGCTTTTTGGATGCTATGGACGTTCTCAAGTTTCCAGGCAGATACAGTGGGGCAAAAAAGTATTTAGTCAGCCACCAATTGTGCAAGTTCTCCCACTTAAAAAGATGAGAGAGACCTGTAATTGGCATCATAGGTAGACCTCAACTATGAGAGACAAAATGAGAAAAAAAAATCCAGACAATCACATTGGCTGATTTGGAAAGAATTTGTTTGCAAATTATGGTGGAAAATAAGTATTTAGTCACCTACAAACAAGCAAGATTTCTGGCTCTCACAGACCTGTACCTTCTTCTTTAAGAGGCTCCTCTGTCCTGCACTCATTGCCTGTATCAATGGCACCTGTTTGTACTTGTTATCAGTATAAAAGACACCTGTCCACAACCGCAAACAGTCACACTCCAAACTCCACTATGGTGAAGACAAAAGAGCTGTCGAAGGACACCAGAAACAAAATTGTAGACCTGCACCAGGCTGGGAAGACTGAATCTGCAATAGGCAAGCAGCTTGGTGTGAACAAATCAACTGTGGGAGCAATAATTAGAAAATGGAAGACATACAAGACCACTGATAATCTCCCTCGATCTGGGGCTCCACGCAAGATCTCACCCCGTGGGGTCAAAATGATCACAAGAACGGTGAGCAAAAATCCCAGGACCACACGGGGGGACCTAGTGAATGACCTGCAGAGAGCTGGGACCAATGTAACAAAGGCTACCATCAGTAACACACTACGCCGCCAGGGACTCAGATCCTGCAGTGCCAGACGTGTCCCCCTGCTTAAGCCAGTACATGTCCGGGCCCGTCTGAAGTTTGCTAGAGAGCATTTGGATGATCCAGAAGAGGATTGGGAGAATGTCATATGGTCAGATGAAACCAAAATAGAACTGTTTGGTAGAAACACAACTTGTCGTTTTGGAGGAGTGAGAATGCGGAGTTGCATCCAAAGAACACCATACCTACTGTGAAGCATGGGGGCTGTTTCTCCGCAAAGGGACCAGGACGACTGATCCATGTACAGGACAGAATGAATGGGGCCATGTATCGTGAGATTTTGAGTGCAAACCTCCTTCCATCAGCAAGGGCATTGAAGATGAAACGTGGCTGGGTCTTCCAACATGACAATGATCCCAAACATACCGCCGGGGGCAACGAAGGAGTGGCTTCGTAAAAAGCATTTCAAGGTCCTGGAGTGGCCTAGCCAGTCTCCAGATCTCAACCCCATAGAAAACCTTTGGAGGGAGTTGAAAGTCCATGTTGCCCAGCGACAGCCCCAAAACATCACTGCTCTAGAGGAGATCTGCATGGAGGAATGGGCCAACATACCAGCAACAGTGTGTGCCAACCTTGTGAAGACTTACAGGAAACGTCTGACCTCTGTCATTGCCAACAAAGGATATAAAACAAAGTATTGAGATGAACTTTTGATATTGACCAAATACTTATTTTCCACCATAATTTGCAAATAAATTCTTTCCAAATCAGCCAATGTGATTGTCTGGATTTGTTTTCTCATTTTGTCTCTCATAGTTGAGGTCTACCTATGATGCCAATTACAGGCCTCTCTTATCTTTTTAAGTGGGAGAACTAGTACAATTGGTGGCTGACTAAATACTTTTTTGCCCCACTGTAGAATGGTAAAAATGCAGGCAGGGCACAGGACAAAGCACTCGGGACAAAATGTATGCAAAATGGTTTGATACAGTAATGTAATACAAACAGATTACAATGTATTGTGTGTATGTCATGTTTTTACTTTTTTGAATCTCCCACCGGTTCCACCCGCCTGCGGCACAACGCTCGTAGGGAAGGGAACCCTGAAGACAGATGCCGGCATTGGCTTGAGGACACAGCGGGAGAACATCAGGGGATCGCAGGACAAGGTAAGTTACACTACAGTGTAATCCCAAAGTGTAGCTCGGGGATACTGCTTTTGGTACTGAAAATGAACCCTGAGCCACACTCGGGATTACAGCTAGGGAGGTGAATAGAGAAAACCTTCACATATGGAACCGATGATCAATACGAAAACAGCTGTAGGACCAACTGCTTCTGAACAGGATCTGTAGTAAAAATTGGAAAAGTCCCCACAGGCTTTGTTTTTTTTTTCTTTCACCCAACCTGATGTTTGGCTTTAAAGGCTAAGTTCACCTCATAATTTCTTTATTGCATTTACTTATATATAGCGCTGTCAATTTACACCACACTTATATATTGTACATTCATATCAGTCCCTAACCCTCAAGGGGCGTACAATCTAAGGTTCCTAACTCACAGGGTACATTCTGTTGTAGGTTGAAGCTCGAAGCTCCAAAAACACTCAAACTTAAAAATCAATTGTTCTCTATGGTGCCTGTTCACATGATCAGGTGTGAACAGGCACCATAGAGAACAATTGATTTTTTAAGTATGAGCTTTGAGCTACAAAGCACTCAAGTGTGAATGTAGCCTTCAAGCCAACAAGCCTTCACCCGCTACAAATCTGCCTTCCACACCTACACCTCCTCCCTCCACGCAGCCAAACAAGCCTACTTCCTGACCCTCATCAAGACCCTCTCCTCCAATCCTCGCCGACTTTTCTCCACCTTCAACTCTCTACTCTCGCCACCCCTACCTCCACCCAGCACCTCACTCACTGCCCTTGAGATTGCCAATCACTTCAAAAACAAGATTGACACAATTCACAAGGACATCGCCGCAACTCACACGCCCTCTCAACCTGTCCCCTCTCACACAGCTACCCCCTCATCCCCCCTCTCCCTCGACATAACCCTCAGGGACTTTGTCGCTTCTCAAACTCCCTTCAACCCCGTTCCCCCTCACTCAGCTACCCCCTCATCACCCCTCTCCACGGCCCCACCACTGCTCTGACCTCCACCCCACCCTTCATTCCTCATACTGAAGCGCCCCCAACACTTCACACCTTTGACCTTACTACCATCGAGGAAGTCTCCAAGATCCTCTCTAATGCCCGCCTCACCACCTGCCCCCTCGACCCTATCCCCTCACAACTTCTACGACCTCCCTCCCCCTCCATCATACGCTCCCTCACCCACATCTTTAATCTCTCTCCTCCGGCACTTTCCCCTCCCCTCTGAGCAGGGGCGGACTGACAACTCATGGGGCCCCCAGGCAATAGGAGAACATAGGGCCCCTGTGTGCTCGCCCACACTCAAACCACACCCAAAAAAGCCTATGAAAGGTACCAGGGGCATCTCATGGGGCCCCTTACTGACCCCAGGCCCTCGAGCAGTGCCTGAGTTTCCGATTGTTCAGTCCGCCCCTGCCTCTGAAACATGCACACATCACCCCCATACTTAAAAAGCCCTCTCTGGACCCCAATGACCCGAACAACCTCAGAGCCATCTCCCTACTTCCATTTACATCCAAACTCCTCGAGTGCCTTGTCTACATCTGCCTATGCTCTCATCTCAATGACAACAACCTCCTCGACCCCCTACAGTCCGACTTCCGTCCCCTACACTCCACCGAAACTGTCTTACTCAAACTCTCCAACGACCTGCTAACCGCCAAAGCTAATGGCCACTATTCAGTGCTCCTACTCCTTGACCTCTCTGCGGCCTTCGACACAGTCGACCATCCCCTCCTCCTCAAAAAAAACTACACTCCCTCGGCCTCAGAGATTCTGCTCTCTCCTGGCTCTCATCCTACCTGTCACAACGCTCTTTCACTTACCTATAATGCTACCACCTCCCCCTCACTCACTCCCCTCTCTGTTGGGATCCCCCAAGGCTCCGTCCTCGGGCCCCTTCTCTTCTCCATCTACACCTCCTCCCTTGGCCAACTCATACACTCTCACGGCTTCAACTACCACCTATATGCTGACGACACACGAATCTATCTCTCAACCCCCCACCTCACCCCCTCAGTCTCTGCCCGAATCACACACCTACTGAGTGACATATCTGACTGGATGTCGCTCCACTTCCTTAAACTGAACCACTCCAAGACCGAGTTTCTTGTCTTCCCCCCAGCCCCGACACCCCCCCCCCCATTGACTTCTCCATCATGTCCAACAACGCCACCATCAAACCCCGCCCGCAGGCCAGAGTACTTGGTGTCATTCTGGACTCCAACCTATCCTTCCAGCCCCAAGTCCAATCTTTAACAAACTCGTGCAAACTCCACCTCCGCAACATCGCCAAAATATGCACATTCCTAACCCCAACCGGCGTTGGCGTCCAACCGTAAGTGCGTCACCAGAACTGATGTACCGACGCATTGCGTCACGACCACGTGACTTCCTCAGGGTATACCCTGAGGAAGTCACGTGGTCGTGACGCAATGCGTCGGTACATCAGTTCCGGTGACTTCCTCAGGGTATACCCCGAGGAAGTCACGTGGTCGTGATGCAATGCGTCGGTACGTCAGTTCCGGTGACGCACTTCCGGTTGGACGCCAGGCTGTGCTTTATCTATTGTTGGGATGTCTGGTGTGAATCGCTCTCTTAAGGTCACGCCACAACATTTCAATCGGGTTGAGGTCAGGACTCTGACTGGGCCACTCCAGAAGGCGTATTCTGTGCTGTTGCAGCCATTGTTTTGTTGAATTACTTGTATGCTTTGGGTCATTTTCCTGTTGCATCACCCATCCTCTGCGGAGCTTCAGTTGGCGGACAGATGGTCGTACGTTTTCCTGCAAAATGTCTTGATAAACTCTGGAATTCCTTTTCCCATCAATGACAACAATCCGTCCAGGCCCTGAGGCAGCAAAGCAGCCCCAAACCATGATGCTCCCTCCGCCATGTTTTACAGTGGGGATGAGGTTTTGATGTTGGTGTGCTGTGCCTGTTTTTCTCCACACATAGTGTTGTGTGTTCTTCCCAAACAACTCAATCTTGGTTTCATCTGTCCACAGTATATTTTGCCAGTAGTGCTGTGGAACATCCAGGTGGTCTTTTACAAACTTCAAACGTGCTGCAATATTCTTTTTGGACAGCAATGGCTTCCTCCGTGGTGTCCTCCCATGTACTCCATTCTTGTTTAATGTTTTCCTTATTGTAGATGTGTCAACAAAAATGTTAGCATGTGCCAGAGATTTCTGTAGGTCTTTAGCTGACACTCTAGGATTCTTCTTTACCTCATGCAGCATTCTGCGCTGTGCTCTTGCAGTCATTTTTACAGGATGACCACGCCTAGGGAGAGTAGCAACAGTGCTAAACTTTCTCCATTTGTAGACAGTCTGTCTTACCGTGGACACATGAACATCAAGGCTTTTGGAGATACTTTTGTAACTCTTTCCAGCTTCATGCAAGTCAACAATTCTTGATCGTAGGTCTTATGAGAGCTCTTTTCTGCGAGGCATGGTTCACATCAGACAGTGCTTCTTGAAACCAGTAAACCCAAAAGAGATGTATGGGCAGGACAGCCAAGGTTGGCTCACTCCTGGCTCCAATTAGCTCTGGGAGAAGTCATTAGGCTAGGGCCTCACATACTTTTTCCTCCCTGCACTGTGAATGTTTACATGTTATGTGCAATTAAACCATGGCAACATCTAATGTTTGTGTAGTATTATGTTCAGCAGACTGTATTCTTCTATTGTTGTGACTTAGATGACGTTCAGAGCACATTTTATGCCCAATTCATGCAAAACTCCACGTAATCCCAAGGGGTTCACATACTTTTTCTTGCATGTATGTATATACTGTATGTATATACCAATTTAAGGGAGAGTCTTTCACGTTTTTTTTTTTCACAGTTGTTGTGTTTTTTTCTCCTTTGAGGGGTCACGTATATATATCTATATATCTATATATATATATATATATATATATATATATATATATTTATTATTAGTCCCCTATGTGGACAGGGGGAGGTTGGCTTGCTCATCGGTTTTCCGTTTGAAAAACGGGTCCACGCTTATTTTCACAGGATTCACCTGTTGCACTTTTTGTCACTTTTTGATTGATCTGTTTTCAGCATCACTTATATGTTCACTTCACCTTTATATATATTGTTTGCTTATTGATCTGATTGTTAGCTCTTCCGTGTTTTTTTATTTATGTTTTTTTATTTTATGTAAACAACAACTCTCCCCTGCCAGCAAGGACATGCTGATTTGTATTTCTCTGCACAGCAAATACAAAGCAGCATGTCTCCGTAGTAAAACACGCACAGCACATGTGGTAAAACAGCACACAATTAACCCTTTGACCACCCCAGATGTTGATCCCTTCCTGCCCAGTGTCATTAGTACAGTGTCAGTGCTTTTTATTAGCAGTGATCACTGTATTAGTTTAATTGGGGATGTTAGTGAGAGTTAGTCAGTTCCCCCCCCCCAGTGTCAGAATGCTCGCCACAGTCCCGCTATAGCTCGCAGATCGCTGCCATTACTAGTATAAAAAAAATTAAAATCCCAGTCTATATACCATTTGTAAACACAATAACTTTCACGTAAACCCAATTAATTTACACGTATTGGGATTTTTTTTTTTCCAGCAAAGACATGTCGCAGAATACATTTTGGCCTAAATTTATGAAATGTGATTTTTTTAAAATTTTTTATAGGACATGTTTTATGGCAAAAAGTCCAAAATATTTTTTTTTTTCCAAAATTGTTGGTCTTTTTTGTTTATAGCGCAAAAATAAATACTGCAGAGGTGATCAAATGCCACCGAAAGAAAGCTCCATTTGTGGGGAAAAAAATGACATTAATTTAATATATGTACAGCGTTGCATGGCCGTCCAATTGTCAGTCAAAGTAATGCAGTGCCGTATGGCAAAAAAATGGCCTGGACAGGGAGGGGGTAAGTCTTCTGGAGGACCATGTGCTGCCTGAATCTTGAAAATTCAGCATGATATACTACAGGATTTATGCATCTATGAACTAGAAAAAAAAGTTTGTAGTTGTTGTTAAACAGTGTTCATTTATTTTGTGCAGCAGCTATATCAGTATTCAGTAGAGATCCATTCTTCAACCAGTAGATGGCAGTGTTTATAAGATTGTATCTGCATTTATGATAAACTTTATGTTTTCTCTGAATAACGCTTCCTGTTTCCTGTTAGCAGAGAAGCAGCAGAAAAAGCACATGTGGACTGTGCACTGTCTGTTCTGTAGGGCTATATACAGAGTCTCTAACAGGTTATGGACCCAGATGTCCAGTCATAGCCAGCTACAGCAAATAAGTGCAAGATCAAGCAATAGGCATGGTATGTTGATTCAGGAGGTATGAATCACATGACAAATGACAGAGACGTCTTTATTCACCTTGACCAGTGTAAAACAGAAAAATCACCACATCTAATGGGCAAATACTGGAATCAGAAGGAATAGGAGGCGGTTTTCTTTACTGTGCTATTTTCCAGAGTGAAACCAGAAAGATACCTGTGAAAAATGTCCTGTATATCCCTGTTCTTGAAACAAATCATTTGTCAGTGAAGAAGCTCACAAAAACAAGGCAATGTAGTGACCTTCCAAGGTGATAGTTGTGCTATCACAAAAGGGGATATCTTACATGCAAAGGCTAAATGTACAGATGAACAGTATCAGCTGATCTGCAATCAGATGGTTAATACTGCCACAGAGGAAAAATATTCAAACTGCATTCACACATGGCACAGACAACTTGGGCACAGAAGTCCTGACATAATAAAGAAATGTACTGAGAATGACCATGCAAGTGAAATACAAATTGGTCCATGTGATCAAATAATGAAATGCACCAGCTGTATAAAAGGAAAAATTACAAGAAAATCCTTTTCAAAGCAGAGTAACAGCAGAGCTAAAAAAACATCTGAACTTAATTCATTCAGATCTTTGCAGTCCAATGGAAAAATTTACTCCAGGAAAGAAGAGGTATTTTCTCACTGTTATAGATGATTACTCCAGGTATACTACACTATATTTGTTACACAACAAAAGTGACGTACCAGAGAAACTTGAACAGTATTTGACTCAAGTAAACAACAAATTTGGTAAAACACCAAGTGGGAGATGAAAATGATTCCTATTGATAGTTCAGTGTCTGCTCCCCTTCTCTTCCAATCCCTTCATTGACTGCCACTAACCCAACAAATTCAATTCAAAATACTATCAACATAATGTACCTCCCAACTTTCTGAGATGGGAATGAGGGACGCTTATTAGCAAAAGTATGTAGACATAGGACACACACCCTACCACGCCCCCTTAAAGGAGAATTATACAAAAATGATTGGACAAACCCACAAATGCTATCACTATTCCTTTATATTGGCTTTTAAAATATACAAATGCAGCAATTTAGAAATTGAATGAAAGGTTTAGCACTGTAAAACACTTTTTGATAGATAAATAGTGCATTTTTCTATACAACTATAAAGATCAGACCAAAATGAGGAACAAATGAGGAGGAAGGAGGAACAGAGGCACTTTGTTCCAAATGAGGGACAGTCCCTTTAAATCAGAGACAGTTGGGAGCTATGTTAACACTAATTTACAAGCCATCCAGAACTCGGCTCCCAGCTACATCACTGACCTAGTCTCAAAACACCAACCAAATCGTTCTCTTCGTTC